GAATGGCTAAAATAAAAATTGTTTTTCGAAATGTGCAGCGTTGTATGCTTGTAATTGGTTAACTTCACCCCCACGTACAAAAAAAAACCTCCACAAATAAAACAAATTTGTATCGAAACTGCGTTCTTGCTCTGAAGAACGCTTAGATTATAGCCCCGTCGTGTTCAATGTAGAAAATGAGCTAATGACGCACACGTGACAGATATAAATAAAATGGTGTTGTCCCGATTCGTGTTTGTTGTATGCACGCTCGGATTTAGAACGCAGCGAGGGGAGACTGGCAAAGCGCAAGCGACTGCTGCACACCCTTCCAAGGTGGGGAACGGCTGCGTGACAATACGTTGCAAAACCAAGGCACACAGCCATGTGTGCATTATGCAACAACAAAAACGGCATATCCTGCAGAAGTCACCATCAGAATACATTTGAGCAAGCGTGGCTGACCGACTGGCAGCAGCAGCAGCAGCGGCGGTAGACACCTGTGGACCGGTGCATCACTGCTGCCGTCCCATCACGTCACATTTGGACGTACTGGCGGTACAACCGGTGCAGCAAAAACACAATTTGAACCGACATTCGTCTTCAGGCTGCTTCGACATGACGAGAACCGATTTTGACGCATCACCACCACCACCACCACCCCGCAATAATTATTTCTGACGGGGAGTTGAGGAAAATCAATAATTGCGAAAATTACCGTTGTTTATTTTACCGCGCACCACCCGTGTACCGCCAATACGCTCATTTGTTCAAAATGATTTTGATGGTCACCTACGATTTTTAAAAAAAGCCCACAATTCACTTCTTCAGGAAATGTCGATGTTTTTCTTCTCATAGTAAAGGTTTTTGGGTTAGATCGTGTAAGTATAAATGTGTCGTAACCCTCCACCACCCGACAGCCAGTAAGGTTTGTCAGGAAAACACGCCAATTAGTTACTACTTCAGCCCACAGGCGTGTTGGGAGAATGAATCCACAACATTGACAATTTGAATACGTTTCGCTGCTAATTACATCCAGCATAAATCGCGCGATTCACCAGAATAGCTACGACACAATATTTATACTGGCGCAATGCAACCCAAAAACCTTTATTATGAATAATATTGGCAGCGAAAGTCTTCGTGGCGTTTTTGTTGTTGTTGTTGTAGTTGTTACGTGATACACAAATGGCTGTGGGTTTCTCCCCCCCCCCCCCCAAATCACACAAATGTTTTTGTGTTTCATCTCCACGTATAGCTATGGCTTGACAACCATGTGTTTGTTGGCAATGGGTTCGCGTGACCCATTTGTAGCCACAAGGGGAAACTACCCATTCACGGTGCGACTCGTTGCATTGCGGGTGTCGACGATAGGGGGAGGGGATGGCGGCAGGCTAGGTGTGCCGGATAATGATTCGACGCATGTATGCAGAACTTCTTTCGCACCGTACGCAGTCGACCGTGCTCAGCGGAGACGCGGATTAGATGCGTGACAGAGGCAACGCGCCGATCATCCGGAGTGTAGGTTTCTTTAAGAAGACAACGTTGCATTACGTATTACACTATTCCCCCTCCCCAGCCCCCCTTTCCACCGCAAACGCTGAGCAACAACAAAAAAATGTACGGAACATTCACACGCACTTTCAAAAAGTCGAAACGCTTTACTTCACGTGCGTTCAGAGCCGAACGTGCGCGCATCAACATCCTCGCACCGCTTGCACAGCCGCACACGCTGGCAGGCAATGCCCGTTTTTGATTTAATGCATAAAATGATCACGGCCGGCAAAAAAAAAAAACATACATTGCGGGTCTGCGTGCCAGCGTAGCGGCAGCAGCCGTTTCAGAGGCGCGACCGATGCACGGCAGGTGCACAGCCCAGGTGAAATTCAATTCGACTGGATATTGGAAATGTTTCCACAAAGGGCCAGCATGTGATCAGACCACGCCAATGTCTCCCTCCAACTTCAGGCCTTCTCAGAAGGCAGATTTCACCCTGTGCATAAAAAACACACAACCTGCACCACAAATAACAGTGACATGTGCTCACACACACACACAAAACAACGATACCCTTTGTAAGCCTACATATGACTGTCGATGCAAGGGTTATTAGCGAGCACCTATTAAGGCCAGCACCATGCACGGTAACATTTATTTTTTTTCCCCAATTCTGATGTCGACAAAACCTCACCAGGTACTCATTTCAGGCTCAGTCGACCTCTTTGGGGAGAGAGGGCCCAGGACAGGTTCAGGAATCAAACTCGGGTCACTGGGTTCATCGCGCAGTGCCAACCCACTGCACGACCGCTCCCCGCACACACACACACACGCAAAGTACATTCAGTGCGTATTTAAACGTGCTTCCACATTATCGAGTATGTAGTAACAAACATATAGCAGATATAATTTAAATTTTCAATAATTTAACTTTTTTTTTTTTAAAACCCCATCATATTTCTGCTCGGACAGTGTGCATTGAGATACAGTGAATTGCCGCGTACAATCTCTTTACAGTGACAGAGTGGTGACGGCAAACTTAAGACTTTCATATCCTCGGGCTTTTGTGTCAAGTTCCATGGCCTTAGCCTCATGAGACAGTTTGCACGTACCGAAACATCAAACGCTTCATGACAATATATGTACTGTACAGTACATAGGCATATACATTGCTATGTATAAAACACACCGAAACTGTACGGTATATATATTTTTTAAAACACAGATCTCGATTAAGGCACTTTATATCATCAAGTGACTATGTTGGCACAAGTATATATTTGTTTATGTACAAATGACGTAACAGCAACAAAGAGATATATTTGAAGCAGGAAAAAAATAGATTATTTATATCGGTCAAAACCCATTTTATTTTCAATCTGTGATTGAAGGGGTAGCGAGGTTCTGTTACACGCTTATTTTTAGAAGCAAAAAAAACTAAATATTTATAGGGCCTACAAATGCAGGGGGAGGGGCGAAATTATTGGGACTCGTAGAACATGAAGGGAAAAGTCGCATAGCCGGACTCGCTTGTGGATGAGGTAACGGGCACTTCCGATTAGCGCGGTTGGCTACGTATGGTGCGAAAGAAGTTCAACATACACGTGATAAATTCGGATATGTTCACAGACTTAAGTCCGTTACCCAGTCGTGCGCTAATAGGCTACGGGACACAACAGCCAATCACAAGCCCCTTCGAACACGGTGGAGGGGGAGGGAAAATGCTTTTGACCGTGCTTTCGAAGTGAACTTGCGTACGCGATATTAATAAACGATTAGCACGGTTGGCTGCGCACTGTGCATACGTACAGACGCTTGTGCCGCGTCTGTAGGGGTCCAAATTCGTGAACGTCTTCGTCTCAGAAAGTGACAGCTTACAACGTGCAGAAAATACCGCACCGGGTATGGACGCTTAACCGGATTGGGAGATGTGCGGCCGCTCGGTTATGCAACTTTTTTTTGTTGTGCAAAAAAAAAAACCTGGCTGTTTTTTGGGCATGACAGCCACGTCGAGTGGCAAGCAGCAATTGTAGTTGAACCCTTCCCCCTCCAATCTCATGAGAATCGCCCGGGGCACTTTATTTAGGTGGGAACGGCTTGATAGTGATGAAGAACAGCCAAGTAACAACAGTATGAGCAGAGGCTGGAATTGAACCGGGGGGAGGGGCATGCCGACACTGCCAAGTCCTTGCCCCAGAAATAAAATAATGTCGGTGATGCAAAAAAAATGCATTTCACGCGGGCACGCCGATATCGATTTTAAACCTCTTTAAAGCGATGCACCAGACGACAATCGTCGTTTTAACAATAATTGTGAAAAATAGATGTTTGCATGTATAAAGTCTATAAAACCGCCTTCATTAATGTGCACGTGCATGCATAACACACATACAGCCGCTTTTAGTGTAATATCTATGACGCCAACTGCTATTGCAACAGAATGTGCCCTGTGGACGTTGAGAAACTGCTGGTAAATTTCACAGGATTTAACAACACGCGCGCCCGCACACACGCGCAAAGGCGTGCTTGCAGCACTGAACGAACAAAGCTTTTAGGCCTTATCCAGACTAACGTGTGGCGGTGTGTGGCCACGTGTCGTCCCTTTAGAACCACCAACTGAAAAAAAAAACCGTTGAGAAAACCGTGGCCATCCCAGCGGACAAAATGGCCACCATTGCGGTCAGTTCACCTCGGTGGGGTTTGCCTCTTCATCGACGACAGATTCGAATTTAGAATTCGCATTTCGGTAATTCATCTCCCCAGGCATAACCCATCCCTGCTGACGTAACTTCCTCGACTCCGGGTATTGTTTAGCCCCAGTTTAGATATCAGAGCTGGCTGCCAGATGCCAATGTCCGAAATTAATCTCCGTTGCGTGCTGCTATCGGGTTGTTGGGAGGCGCTCCGTTTGGGAAGCGGGCAGTGGGGGTGCGGAGACACGGTTCACATTCGCACGGGAGCCAGTGCCGGCGGAGAAGCCGCACACACACACACAGGGACCTCTTTGTGCACGAAAAACAACGCGGGGCTTTGTCGAGCCACGTCGAAAAAGACGCTCTCCCGGAGTGAGAGAGAGAGACTGAGTGAGTGAGAGCGTGCGAGTGAAAGAAAGGGAGACTGCGAGCAAAAACATTTCGCAGTGTACACGCGATCATCGTGAGAAACGCGGCGGTCACGGCGGCGACGGTAAAAAGAAAACAAAACTGACCCACAGGTGAATTTGTCCTCTTCGCACACATCTTTTTTTTTGGACTCCAGCTTGAACACCTATTTCTTTGTTGCGCGAGCTAAAGTACAACGGAGAGTTTATTCCTTTTTAAAAAAAAAATCACATCGAAAGTAAAAAGACACGATTCATAATAATAATAGTAGTTAGTAGAGTTTTTAAAAAATAGCATGCTAGACCAAAGATCTAAAATGTAGCAGCATTTGGCAATAAAAGTACAAATGATCCTCTCCCACGCTGGGGGAGACTGCACCAGGACAGTCAGTGTTTTTTTGCGAATCGCATGAGGCGACCCCCCCCCCCCCCCCCCTTTTCATCCAAGGACAACTAAAAGTGCCCGCACACGGCGAGCCACGGCAGCACCAATAGGACGAGGCACAGGCCCCCCCCCCCCCTCCCCAAAGGCTGTCCCATTCAGCTGTCTGGCCCCGACCTCCTCGCCGAGCTGCGACCTGACTTCAGACCCGATTTAGTTTTTTTTGTTTGTGTTTTGTTGAAACCAAACCATTCCGTCGTGTCCTGCAAAGAGGTGCGCAATAATTCATTTGCGGGGACCGACTCAGGAGTACTTGGCTCGCGACACTCCCGCCTCGGGCCACGAGGGTCGGGGGGGGCCCCCGGCGGGTCGGTCACCCTTCGTGCGACGGGACGCACCCACCACCTGACAGCGGTGACAAGTCCGCGAGCGGTGGCCTTGACGAACGAGCGTCCGACATCGTCGCGTTGCCCTTCCACAGTGAACCGCGCTGAGCATTGCGCGCTCAAATCTCCGACTCTCGCCGCTGCTGGCCCTCATCGAGTGGGACAGTGGCCTGGGACGGCCGCCCCTCGTGCAGGCCGGCAAGTGGCCGCACGAGGCTCTTCTGCTCGGCGACGTCCGGCACCGGCGCGCCACCCCGGCCCAGGTTCAGCTCGTTCTCGTACGAGAAGTCGCCGCACGGCACCACGTATTTGTTCTCGGCGAGGTCCTTGGAGCTGCAGAGTGGCGTCGCCACCTCATAGGTGTCGTGGAACTTTGAGAAGTCCACGCGGTAGTTGTCCTTCTCCTCGGTGAGCAGGGGCTCGAAGCGGTGGCCCCACAGCACCTCGCTGGACAGGTAGGATGTGCGCGCCTGAGTCGTCATGGCGGTCGCCTCCACCATGCCCTCGAGGATCACCACGATCTCGAAGTCCTCCGCGTCCAGGTCGCGCTTGCTCATCGCGTACAGCGGGCTGTCCTCGTCGATCACGTGCACGATCATCACGGGCGACACCAGGAAGATGCGGTCGAGGCCCTGGTCGTAGCCCACGTTGAGGTCCTGATGGTCGAGCGGGATGTACTCGCCCTCCTCGGTGACGCGCGGCCGGACGAGCTGGGCGCGCACGTGCGCCTCCACCAGGTGGCTGCGCCGCAGGTTGCCCACGCGCCACGCCAGGCACAGCTTGCCGTCGCGCATCGCCACGATGGCGTGGCGGCTGAACACGAGCGTCTGCGCCCGCTTCTTGGGGCGTGCCATCTTCGTCATGATGGCGCCGATGGCGAAGCAGTCGACGATGCAGCCGGCGACCGACTGCAGCACGACGAGCAGCACCGCGGCCGGGCACTCCTCGGTGACGCAGCGGTAGCCGTAGCCGATGGTGGTCTGCGTCTCGAGCGAGAAGAGGAACGCCGACGTGAAGCCGTCCACGTTGGCGACGCACGGCTCGCCGTCGGGGGAGTCACGGGGGCGCGCCGTGTCGCCGTGCAGCCACGCCAGCAGCCAGAAGCCGAGGCCGAAGCCCAGCCAGGACAGCACGAAGGCGAGCGAGAAGATGAGGAACATCCAGCGCCAGCGCACGTCCACGCACGTCGTGAAGATGTCGGAGAGGAAGCGCCGCGGCCGGTTGTCCACGTTAACGAAGTGCACGTTGCACTGCCCTGTCTTCTTGACGAAGCGGCTGCGCCCTGGCGTGGGCCGCCGGTAGAGCTTCTTGCCGCTCGGGTGGCCGTTCTGCGCGGAGACGCCCTTCAGTGCCATGCCCTCCTCGGCCTCGGAGCGAACGACGCCGTACATCTCTGGACGCAAACTCCTCACCATGCGATCGTACATTGCTGTGGCGTCGCTTCGCCCCTCCGTGGTTCGCTACCGACGGAAGCAGCACAAGTTGCAGCGGCTTGGCTCGGTAGATGCCAGGGTGGTGTGTCCCCCCCCGCCTTCCCAAAGCAGAGTTCAAATTCCCGCGTCGACAGAAACGCGATTGTTAAGAGCGCGCGTTTACCGGCTCCGCTGCAGGGATCGATCTCCGCGCGCTTGCAGAGTGAACGTCGCCAAATTTGGGTTTCTAAGAACAAAAACAAACAAAAAAAGCATTTAAATATAATTAAATATATATGGTAACGTCGGACTACATGAAGGAATAACGGACTTCTAGATAATATTTCAAAACGGGTGAATTGCAGTTATTATTTTCAAAACACAAATAAAAGACGCTTCACTACATTTCATTGTGAGCGCAAAATACTTTTTTTTTATTCGGTAGGATCCCCCTGCCACAAGTGTATGCATGCAGAACTTCCAACTTTCGCACCGTACGTAGCCAACCGTGCTAATCGGAAGGGGGTAGCACTTTATCCCCCCCATGCAGATGGAACGGATAGATATTAGCAGAAATCTGCCAGCACTCCCTCCTCCCCCCCCCCCCCATGTACCAATTGTACCCCCGTTAAAAACGCCGTTACAACCCCGTTACGACGCCGTTACAACGCCGTTACAACAACACACCGCCTGCACAGGTGCATGGCGGAACGCTCAACATCCCCTCGCAGGACAGGGCGCACTCCTAAACGGTTGTATTGCTAGGCGAGGGTCGCGTTACCGACTGACCAATCAACTTCCATCTCAGGTGTGACAGCACCACCCGAGCCTGGGTCAGTCACTGTTGTTGCTGGACAATCACCATCCATCATCGAAGGGTTCACCTTGACAAGCTCGGAGGTAGCTCCCCCCCCCCCCCCCCCCCCCCCCCCCAGTTACATAAACGATGTCATGGGCGTGGGAGGTGTTGTTGCAGTGGGCTCCCACCCCTCCACCATCACCCTCCACACTTCAACGGCCAGTCGCCCAGTGTCCGAGCGCCACGGTCACCGAGATAAATCGGGTCGCGCCACCGCTGTCAGATTCCCAGCTCTACTTTACTCGCGAATCATTAAGACGGCACGGTTCGCGCGCTGGACTTGCAAGTCCAGAGGTCGCCGGGAGAGGGGGAGGGGTGGGGGTCGTTCGGCCTCCCCAGTGCGGCCGGTGTAAATGGCCGCAACACAGTTGGGTCGAGCGGCAATTAAGTTAGAGAAGCATACAAAAAAAAAACACAGATGTCAGCGGATTATTGCAATCGCATGCAAACAGACAAGGGTACGGGTCGGGTATTGGTGCGGTTCACAAATGTGCACGATCCACCGACCCCACGAAGTGATAGATCGACAGTATCTGTGCGCCGCCACCCACTGGGCTGTATGATACCGCACAGGCTGACGACGACCACGAGTAGCAAAGAGGCCAGGCCAGCAGTGGGCAACCTGCGGCCCACCCCCCCCCACCTCCGGGCTACACACTACCCATGGAGCCCCCTCCCCCCCCCACCTCTTCTCGTGATGGCCTCGTCTCAGTGTGTCTCGAGGGTGATGCGTGGGGGTCACATGGTGAGTGCACAATGTCAAGCATGTGACGGAGGGGGCCGCACGTGTGGGTCCCACTAACCCAGCGTTCTTCACCGCAAGGCCCTCCCCCCCGCGGGCCACTGGCGGGCTTCCGATGGCCTTTTGTGCTGCCCCTGACGTGCGCCCCCCCCCCCCCCCCCCCCCCCCCCCCGCGGACAATATACAAGTGTAAACACACCACCTACCGTCGTGCCGTCAAAACTCAATGGTTTCAAATGTGTACAAATAAATAGTCGTGAAGGACGCCGCACTAACTTGTCGAGGTTTGCCCATCACTGGGCCAGACCGTGCGAGAAGCCGCAGGTCGTTTTTGATACAGTGCGATCCTGACAGATACTGTACCCTGCGGGGATTTCTAATGACCCTCCTTAGCTCATTTCTGCCCATGTGGCCCTCTTGCAAAGTGGAAAGACAAATAAAAGAGCGCAAGCTTTCTTCTCTCTCCCTCTCTGACTAGGTAACACTGTTTGCTCACCAGTCCACTTGTCTCGGCTTGAGGTTTACAATCCGATCCACCATCATATTCACACCCACTCCTACAATCACCCTGCCCCCCAGAGCCATGCGTGTAATAATCCATTCCTTACGATGAATACAAATTATATGCCAGTGGAAAAAAATATATATTCATGGCACAAAACACAAGTGTGCAAATAAGACACACCGTGAAAAAATTATTATCTAAAAACCGAGACAAAAAGGATGGAATCGAATTGTGACCCCAACAAATTTGTACAACCACCGAGGGAGCAGCAAACCCCAATGTGCCTCCGAAACGAACTCTAAACATCCGAAACCTCCGATTAGCACGGTTGGCTACGTCAAGCGCGAATGAAGCTCACCACAGTGACATACCTGTGTCGCCTCGCAACGAGGTTCCAGCGTTACAGGTTCGATACGGGGGAGCGGCAGCGTCTGGATATCACAAACGGTGAACACAGTCCCGACTACGCTCCGAAAATAACACCGCTCCTGGCACACCAGCCACGTGGGGGCTTCCACACACCTGCACCGCACTGGGATGCGTCCCTCTTTTGCCAAACCCCCCACCCCACCACGGCAATAATTAACATTCAAAACCGGTACGAAATGCATACTTGGCATATGAAGCCAGTGTAAACGGAGGTGTGCGTGCGGTTATCATCTCTTGGAGATACCAAAAAAAAACATATCATGGGAAGAATAATCTCTCGATACTGGAAAAGGGCAGAGAACCGCCTTGTTGATTTCCTAGGAAAGGCTAGCAACCACGATGAGGACGTCCTGGTGAAGAGACGACAACAACAACAAAAAACCCCAGGACAGGTGGCAACAGCCCTGTGCTGGCAATGTTGTCATGGGCACCGAGTCGTGACACCACAGCCGTTCCGACGGGTGGCACGTTTGTACCACGGCGGCGGGCGGGGAAAGCCACAACAACCATGATGAGCCCGAAACTCTCCACTGCCACCAAAATAATGCTGGCGTGTCCCAGCCTCTCGTCCTTGGGTTTTATTGTGGGGGGGGGGGGGGGGGCTGTTCATAAAAGGCATCTTCCATTTTTTTCAGCTCGGTTGATTAAACTAAAACAAAGACAACGATCGCCTGTATAGCCTAAACAGACTGTTGGGGCAAGTGCTGTTAGCGAGCAGCACCTATGAAGGCCGGCACGGCACACGAGGAGGGGGGGGTGGGGGATGGCCAGCACCACACCCGGCTGCCTTTGTCTCCCCAGTGGCGATCTTTGCACATCGCACCAGGTACTCATTTGAGGCCGAGTCGACTTGGGGGAGGCCCAGGACCAATTCAAATACTCGTAACTGGTGTTGGCCGTGAGCGGGAATTGAACCCGGGTTGCCGGGGTTCGTAGTGCAGCTCACTAACCGCTACACTACCGCTCCCCGCTAAACTAAAACTAAACACGCACAAATGCATGGTAGTATGTAGATTTTTATCATGATCGTTTCATCCATTGCGACCTCAAATGCAAATTATGGAGTTGACTCAGGTCATCATCCCTTGGAGGTTGATAAAGTGAGTACCGCTTTGTGGGAAAGTCAACAGCGGTTGCGCTGAACTAGTAACTAATTGCCATGTTTTGTTTACGTGACAAACCTTGCCAATTGGCTGTGTCGGGTGGTGGTGGGTTTAACGACACATTTACACTTGCGCGACCTAACCCAAAAAAAAAACTCATGGATATTATTGGTCACTGTACACTCGCTCGAGCGATATCACTTCGACTTTCATGACGTTACAACAATCGATGCGATCGGCGCCCCATGGGGAGCGGACTCGTCACGTTTTCGGTTTGTGAGATTGTAGTCGTGTGGCCATGTAAACTGCCTTACAAAAAGGTTGCCAACGCGCGCCTCCGACACGAACGAAACCCGCACTTCGCTGCTGGTGCCGCGCGAAGAAGAGCACCAAACATCGCAGGCCGCACCTGCGAAGTGAACGCCTCATCTCTACAGAAGCATCACCCCGAACCTCCAATTAACACGGTTGGCTACGTACGGTGCGGAAGAAATTCACACATACATGCTTTCGCACACCTTTCATGATTAAGCCACCGAATGTGCTATTGTACTGGCGCAGATCACGCCCGCTTAAACACTTTACTAATTGGCAATTAAAGCCACGGTTGGCTCGTTTCAGCAAAGGGTCAGACCGATGCATGCATGCAAACGTGCCCTGGCCATTGGCCACAAGGCCGTAATGATATATATTGGGGGGGGGGGGGGGGGGGGGACACACACACATCCCCTTCCCCCACAACATTCAAATATGCTCAAAATGTCCACCCAAATATATTGCTATACAATAGACTTCTGTTTATGATTGTGGTTCTGGTTGTACTTTACTAATCCCTAATCTCTGCCATTACATACAATGAAACAAGAAAAAGGTAAAAAAATAAAAAAAACAGAGCAATGTAATACAATATACTATGAGCCATTGTAAAAAAAATAATAAAAAGTCCATCCTATGTGTATGTGCATTTTTTATATTTTAGGCAAGAAATGACAGGAAATTAGTTTTCAAATTTAGATTTTTTTCTGGGGGGGGGGGGGGGACCCCCAGATCCTCCCCCAATGTTGACTCCATGGCTACAGCCTTGGTTGGCCAGATGAACGGCACGACCAATGAGCTGGCGCTGAGACGTAAACAACCCGTGGTCCCGTGGGGCTTTGGGTGCTGCGAGGTGCAAGGAAGATTCGCGGTGCCGTTTTCAACGAAGCGCAGCAGTACAGTACAACGTCGCATATCCGTCTCGCTGGGCAAGGAGGTCGATTCGGGTCGGGCGTTTGCGTGGAAAAGTCGGATTCGTGGTCATCGATGGAGACCGACAGTTACGCCAGATACTACTGCACTGCATGCTAGACGGTTCTTTGGTCAGGTCGGATATGTTACGTCGTTTCTGTGCTCCCATCTCAATGGAGACGTGCACAGACCACGTGACGTTTCAAGGCGAGGGTCGATGTCGTGGCCCGTAAATGCAATTGAACCCGCAACACGTGTTGAATCAAGAATACCGCAAGCTTTCACGTGTAATCTCCCTTTTTCTAGGCTGTAAGCAAGCACGAGAAATTCCACATTCCTATGGCAGAATAAACGCCTTGTCTATTAGATGACCACCGTAGACTTTCCACAACAATAACAAGTATCGTCTCTACCAACCTCCTGCCGTCTCGATCTATACCATTGCAAAGGAGATAATGAACCCCAAATATACTCTTGTGTGAACCATTATATATTTATTTCTAACATTCCCAAAATTATTCATTTCAGTCCAGTTTATATCGTATTTAATATGGTAACATTCAGATCTTGCCAAAGTCCCAACATACCCACGTGCACATTTCGTTCAGGGGCTCATCCAAATTCCCCCGATTCCAAAGCCAATTCATACTGGGGCGTGACATTACAAACAGTCTGCGGTAAATATGACCGCGCATTGTGTCACCGTGAAACTAAAATTTCCGCACGATACATAGCCCAAACATTAACATCATTATCACCGTGTCATTATTTTTTTGTCGTCATCACCACCACCAACTGAGAGGCCACTGGGAACAAGGGAGACCTGGCTCAAGTTGACAAGAATCTGTCTTGGAAATGCGCACAGTTTAACCAACTTTTGTTTTACTTCGTCGGCAGGTAATCAAATGGGGGGTAATCAAATGGGGTTAATGCGGTTACCAGGGGCAATCGAAAGACATCCCGGGGTATCAATACCGAACAAAAGCCACCTTCTCTACATCACGGTTGTTCAATGAAAGTAAGAAACAAACGGGAGTGCCGTTTTAAAGTACTGTACCGATAAAATTCAACGCATTTTTCAATGACAACGCGTCAATATAAATAAATATATACAAAGAGGCAACGTTTTGGGCAATGGCGCTTATTCAGAGCACGTCAAGAAGAAGGGAACCACTGCCCAAAACTTGTAAACCGTTAAATTTTGATTTAAAGCTTTCGTGCCTGCAGGGATTCATATTCTTGGTTCTTTCGGTAAAGTCACCACGTAGAAGGGAAACAATAAAATAATAAAAATATATAAAACAATAAAATTCTCACGACGTTTCGACTGCAACACAAGCAATCATCGTCAGGTGTGAAAACCACAGCAAGAAAATTTGAAAAAAAGTGGCGGTTATTTTTAACGTTAGTACCACGGAGAGCGATTTGACAGTTTGTTTAGAAGGACGAGTCCATCTATGTTCGGAAAAGAGGAGGGGGGAGACAAAAAATAATGGATGCGGTCTGAAAGCCCACCTTAAGCGTGATCAATCAATTAAGACCCGAAATGGTTTATCAAATCCTTCCAATGATTGCTAAGCCAGAATCCATCTTCTCGGTTGAAATTGTCTCTGTGTTTGTATATGTGGATAGCCTCATGAACGAAATCTCATGGTAGCCAGATGGCTTACAAAGAACCTCCGTCTTGGAGAAGTCAATGTCATGTGAGCCTACTGAACTACAACAGTGATCTGCCACGGCCGAGGTGTTGGTCCTACCGTGTTTCAGGTCTGCTTTGTGTTCACGAATGCGGTCCGAGATATGTCGTTTGGTTTCACCAATGTAACTACTACCACAGAGGCAACTTAGTTTGTAGACGCCAGGGTACTGTAACATTTTTTTCCTGTGGTTTTCACACCTGATTATGATTGCTTGTGTTGCAGTCGAAACGTCGTGAGAATTTTATTGTTTTATATTTTTATTATTTTATTGTTTCCCTTCTACGTGACTTTACCGAAAGAACCAAGAATTTGTATACCGTTCTTTCTTTTAAGGCCACACTTTAGCTTTTTTTACGAACGTGTTGACTTTTTCTGCTGCTACTGTTGTTGTTGTTGTTAACTGTGCACCGGTGGCAACGCAGCAACGACGGACTCAACAAATCATTTTAATCCACGATAGAGGTTTCTGGGTTAGATGGCGCAACTATAACATGCGTCGTTAAACCCGCCGCCACCCGACACAGCCAATTACAGGAAGGTTTGGTCACGTAAACAAAACGTGCACAATTCGTAACTAGTACAGCGCACCGGGGTGTGTTGGAGAGTAAAGCCACAACACTTAGTACCACGAGTTTTTATGTTTGCCGACAGTGGCCAATGGATTTACAATGCCAATTAAGTCTCAACTGCAAGGCTTAATTTCTTATTTGAGATTTTTTTTTCCGGAACGCCGCTAGGTTCCCTTGGAGAAGGATTCGTCGGTGTAAGACACTACAACTGGAGCACAAGGCATGCCTATACATAAGTGCTATGCTGTATTACCGTCCCATATAAACAAATCATCATTAACAGGTGTATAGAGATATGGGGTACGCAATGAGGACAAAATAAGGCGAGATGGGCATGTGGTGCCAAATGAATTTTAGAATATTTCCGGCCGAAACGATGCACCGAGGGGTATTACTCCAACCGGGCTAAAACGCCACGAGGCATCGCATCTCCTGGGCACAGGTGACCGAGGTCAACAGGGTGACCGAGGTCAACAGGGTGACCGAGGTCAACAGGGTGACCGAGGTCAACAGGGTGACCGAGGTCAACAGGGTGACCGAGATTAACTATGCGTCCCCCTCCCCCCAACGCAAGCCAAGACAACTCCAATAGAAGATACATTTAAACCAGAAAAGAAAACGGAGTTTTAAAAGAAAACACTTTCCAAGAGTACAAAAGCGTATCCAAAAGCAGCTTAAGGAATAATATTATGAAAGAAACAGAAACAAAAATGTAAACCTAACTGTAATACCAAGACAACAATTGGCATTTCACGATCGATCCAAGAGACGACGTTGCTTTCCATCATGGTCACACACCTCGAGGGGAGATGGCATGGTTTATACTCGTTAACGGAATTGAATTCCATTTTTTTATGCTGGAAACATCCAAGATCACAAAAAAGGAGGGCGGGGGGGAATATCTTCCCTTGACACACGGGGGATTTAAAGGCATACGGCCAACATTGACAACGAAAAAAACCTGACGTTAGAAAAAAGGGTGTGTGAGGGGCATGAGTAAGGCCGTCATCTCGTTAGGGCAAATTCGTGTGGAAATTTCCACTGCCCGTGTTCGAACGCAAGTTGGGTTGCATTAAATCATTAACACGTTGAGCGCCTTTATATAACTTGACCGCGTTATTATTTTAATTGTACAGCACAGTCTCTGCCCTCAGTATATCACGCCATATATTTTACTATATATACACACACACCGTAAATCGCAGTTCCACTAATGCCTGGGTCATTCAATGACCGGGCGACTCGCGCAAGCAAGTCGCAAGTTCGCGCAACTGCCTTGCTAAGCAGGGAGAAAACAAACATATATATACAGGCTAACGTTTCGGTCAATGGGCCTTGGAAAATGCACTTTGCACCGTGCAGAAGAAGAAACGAGAGGACCGATTCGGAGCACGCTTATCGCCACGCAAAGCCGAGGGGGGGGGGGGGGTGGGGGGGGGGTGGGGGGGGGGCTACCACCGGCTTCCTGGGCCCCGCACGTTTGCAGGTGAATAGCGGGCGAAGCGTCATTCACAGAAACTAATTTTGTGGGGGGGGGGGGGGAGGGGGGTGTTTTGAAACACGAAGCTCAACATTTTGCGTGACCGTCACGGGCGATACCCACGGCGCTTAAAATGCGTTTATTAAACAATTGGGCGCCACGGCACCTTGCGCTGTCACGTCGCTACTGTAGATTGCAAATGCTTGGCCATGCGTAAGACACGCAGGGTATACATGTCCCACGCATACAGGAATATGCCCTGACGTACAGCAATAGAAGCCAAAGAGATGCATTGTAAATAATTGACGCGTGTTGAACTTCTCTCGCACCCTACGTAGCTATAACCGCGCTAATCGGAGGTGTCGTTACCTCATTCGCAACACACGGGAAAGCAGTTCTTAAGAAATGAGTTTACGATCTAGTCTTAAGAGCGCATAGAGGAGTTCCTTTGGCTTCCTAATATAAATTGTGCAATTGCCTGTCAGTGTGCGTGCTCAATAAACTCGCACGTTACTCACGGTACGCACAGCACACTCTCTCTCTCTCTACCCGTTCATTTAACACAGCGATAGGTGGCTGAACAGCTGTATGCAGATACTTACACTAGAGTCACTCAGGTAACTTAACACATGCGCAGGTGTGCGATCGACATCGAAACAAAAAGGACAAAAATTCCCCCCGTATGGATTTAACAGACTGCTCGGGCAAGTGTTACATCCAAAAGACGAACAAAGACAAAGATGATCCCACGTACAGTATAGCCTTAACAGGCTGTTGGGGCAAGTGCCTCATCAATCAAACACACGCGCGCGTATGCCAAGCCAGCTAATAGGGGACATAACCACATTAAACGAACACACCGCAAACTTCCTTCACGAGACCCAATCGCACGAACTCATGCTGGCAAGCCCGACGAGTCAATGACACCCAGAGGACTGAAATATTATGAAATGCTGCTGAATGATATTACCATAGCTTCCCTTGCACGCATTCTCCCGGGAGAGCTCACAGAGATTTGTGTTAATAATTGGATAACCTCCGCCCCCCCCCCCACAAACCACAACCCACCATCTCACCCCCCCACACCCCCCCCCCCCCAAATTAAGACTATATTTATTTTCTTTTACGCAAAACAAAAGAGAGAATACACGATCTTACCGTCTCTTTTGGTCTGTGGGTTGGGGAAGTGTTATTTATCTGCAGCTTTGCTTTGTAGATTAAAAAAAACCCCACACACTCACACAGTGCGACTACACTCCACACAGACGAGCAACCTTCTAGCGCGTGAATGCAACGGCCTTCGCTTTTATAGCGGCGGTGGGAGGGCGTGGCGTGACGTCACGGCGGTGGGCGCGTCCACCTTGAATGGGCGGTGCCTCTTGTCGTGTAACCCCGCCCCTTAAAAGTTAAAATAAATCAAAGTAATAGGTTTTTACCCTTTTAACTGGCACAAAAACTGACACCTTTATTGTGCCAGTTAAAAGGGCAAAAACCTATTACTATATCTTGTTACTGGCAAAAGGAGGTCTCATAATAAAATAAATCAATTAAGAGGTTGGCACACGCAGGTTCTGTCGGCCCTGATGATGCTATAGTTGTAATTGCCGGTCAAACGTCATACTCTCCAAGGCACCGGTATGCTGAACAAGTCACGAATTGGCACGTTTTGTTGACGTGAAGAACCCTGACTAATTGGCTGTGTCGAGTGGTGGTGGCTTCAACGACACATTTAAATTTACACGATCTAACCCCCCAACAAACGATATTATGGATAAATAATTAGAGTTTGCCAGTTGTTTTGCTTTGCTTTACGAGTTTACTGTGTTTGATATTTCTTCAGATAGGAATTATTACCCAATATGTAAGCGAAATGTATTTCTGCATGTAAATTATTTTTTTCAGTCCATCAGCCGATTTATTTTGCAGACCAATATTATTAAGAGGCCCTTCGTTTAGGCACGAAACGTCTGGATCGCCTTCGAACCTCCGGGTCTCATCAGCAGTCAGGCTTGTGTGTGAGTACAGTAAAATCTTGGGATTGTTCAAGCCAACAGTTTAAATGTCGACTTACATTGCAAGACGGATTTCCCCTCTCTGCTCTACGTCTCAAAATCCGAATCCGAATCTTTCTTTTTTTGTACTGCAGAAATCCGACAAGCTACGAAATCTATTTTTGTTTTGTTTACAGATGTCCAGCCTGGGGCGTGAACTCAACCTCGCGCAGTCCACTCGCGCGTCATGTCTTGACGCGGTCACCTCTCGGATTAGTTCCAACCTAAACGTTGCCAAATCTCGAAGAATTCCTCCGCTGGCAAAAAGGTCCACTCTCGGTAAAGACTGCAATCCGTGTGTGCACCTCGTAAAACTCACATCTATAATCATCTTTAGGGCATGTGTGCGTGTGTGGGCAGTGGCTAAAATGGCCAGTATACCGTGTCGGTACGTCCCACAACGCCAAACAGGCATCGCCAGCCTCCTATTCCTTATCCGCAAAGGGGAAACGGCAGTCAACATCACAGATTCTTATTCACTTCCCTCCTTTCACTCCGCCTCTGCTTTCTCTCTCTCTCTGCTCCTGTCGCCCTGCACTACAGCTCCTGTCACCCTGCACTACAGCTCCTGTCACCCTGCACTGCAGCTCCTGTCACCCTGCACTACAGCTCCTGTCACCCTGCACTACAGCTCCTGTCACCCTGCACCACAGCTCCTGTCGCCCTGCACTACAGCTCCTGTCACCCTGCACTACAGCTCCTGTCACCCTGCACCACAGCTCCTGTCACCCTGCACCACAGCTCACGGTGGAACTCTCAGCAGCAACAGCGCGACCCAAAGCCCCCTGCTCCTCGGTGTGGAGAGGAGGAGCAGGAGGCCGTGGTCACTGCCCCCGCATCCTTTCTCCGCGGCAGCTCCCGCCGTCTGAAAAGAAGCCATAAACCCACTTCACATTCGCGGCAGCATTCACTTTTAATAGACACTTTAATGCCCCCCCCCCACCTCACCCCACATCCACACGTCAGTGCAATATTGCATCATTATTGTAATAACATGGACTGAAAGGACGGATAGGCTCCATAGCAGGCACTTCAACATTTAAAATTGGACCACTCCGTATTTGTGTTTGTGTGCATTGTGTGTACGTATCCATGCATGTGCGCGCCTGTGTTTTGGTGTTACCACACCTTGTGGTTGCCTCCAATCGCCTTCCTGGCATTTAACTTTTTTTTATTAAACCAGGTGTCCTGGTTTTGATACTTCGCCACGGGCAAATTCCCAAGTGAACATGCTAACAGGTTCCTTGGAATGTGCCTGGTTTTGCGGTAAAGCGCAGTCACTTTGTGCTACGCGTGAATGACATTTCTCAACGCAGTCAATGACAAACTTCACCCCTGCCCCTTCAGAATTAAAGAACTACAAGCTAAATAATAATAAAAACGTACGGGTTTTATCATAGCAAATTTCAATGCTCCATATCTTCTGTTTTTTTTTTTTTGGGGGGGGGGGTAAGGCCACGTGGTGGTCGTTTTATGCCAGCATACTTGCCATTAACCCTCCACAACCCAACTGGATTGTCACGTTCACAGATATATTATGTACACGTGGCAATGTGTTCATCAATGTAAGCAATAGGCGGACAACACAACTGATTAATTACTGGTTTCATCTTTTTCGAACACATCTGAGTACAACAACCGTCATTATATACTGCTGCCATTCGGCAGAAGTAGAATCAGAATCTGTATTTAGACTGGAGGAATCCGATGAGCTATGAAGCTCTTTTTTCACAGATGCCCAGTGCCTGGGGTATTCGTGCCTCGGGTACTTATGTTCAGCAACCTGCCCACCAAACTGTGGGGCTGACTTCGCCACAGATTATGGGCAATTCAAGCACCTTGTGTTTTGTGTGTGTGTGTATATATATGTTACGTATGTCCAGCGGTGTGTAGCAGTTAGCGCGCTGCGCTACGAACCCAGCGACCCGAGTTCGATTCCCGCTCACGGCCAACACCAGTGATAATTATTTGAACCGGTCCTGGGCCTCCCCTAGGTCGACTCAGCCTCAAATGAGTACCTGGTGCAGTGTGTAAACATCACCACTGGGGAGACAAAGGCGGTCGGGCGTGGTGCTGGCCACCCACCCCCTCGTGTACCGTACTGGCCTTCATAGGTGCTCGCTAACCGCACTTGTCCCAACAGTCTGTTAAGACTATACAGGGGATCTTTGTCTTTGTCATGTATGTCCATCCCTGCATCGCTTTATTTCTGGCTGCTGAATTGCCTTCGGAAAAAAAGTGCTTGCGTATGGTGCTGGGCTGCACGTTTAAAATAGGATCTCGTGTGGCCGGGTGGCTCGGAAAAACTGAAGTCCGTGTCGTGACACTGACCCGGGACCTCTTTCCAGCCTGCGTTCAAGCCCCGTGTTGACCCCTCGGGTAAAAATTATCTCGTGTCCGAGTGGGTTTGATTGTGTGTGGCTACAAATTTACCTCTGCAACCGGTAAAACTTCCTTTCATCTCTGAACACACGGATCAACGGTTAATGAGGATCGCAGTCACACGCTGGGAGCTGGCTTCTGACACCGCCGTGCAACTGGGGGAATTCTCGCAGTAGAAGCATTACAAAGGCTGGATACAAAGCGACCTGCTGAGCAGCTTGGTAAACAGGACAGACCACAAATGGGTGATGCTTGTCAGTTTTAGATCAGTTTTAGAGGAATTAATCTCCTGGCTGAGAGGAATTAATAATTAATTTAGAAAGAATGTACACTTCGGAAGGAGGGGGTTGAGCCGGGAGATGTGTATGTGTAATCAGTAATATTTAAAAATGCTTTTTTTAAACACGCTTTAATTAAATGTACCGTACGAGTAATGGCAGAACTCCACGACTCCAGGAAGTGGCCCCGAAGCTTGCCATATCGTAAGGGACTTGTGGTGATTTACAGCCAACGTGAGTTGAGCGTGGACAATTAGACCCAAGCCGAAACATAACATATTAAAAAAAGATTGCTTTAAAATACATATTTTTTTCTAATGATAGAATATAGTATTGCCATCAGTATGACATATGTATACCAAGTTTGCAGTCGATACGACATTGGGAAGTGGGTTAAAATTGAGTTACAATATTTGAGGATACAACAACAGACAGAGTTGAGGATACAACAGAGTGAGTTAAATAAAAGCTTGTAATAATAAAAGCGTGTAATAATAAAAGCGTGTAATAATAAAAGCGTGTAATAATAAAAAGGTGGATTGATGTTCACGAGGAGACCTCAAAGCGACTGATGAGCTCTGTGCGTATCGAAGTCAGGGAGGTGGCGATATGTCAACATAGAGCTTCAATTAAAATCTGCAACAAATGATGAGAACCCCCATCACAAGAGGAAAACAAAATTGTGCAGGCCGGAAAAAGGGAAACGCTTCAACAAGACTCACGAAAATGTCCTCTGCGCACGCGCGTGTGTGTGTATATATAGAGAACAAAACGCTCTCAGCCTCAAGCAAAGAAGTGCAACATACATACATACATTCAAAAAAGGTTCGAGCTGTTAGAGTCTTTGTGAGATATGTGCGCCTCCGATTAGCACGGTTGGCTACTTACGGTGCGAAAGAAGTTCAACGTACATACTTCGAGATCACTGAAGAGATGGGAAGAGGCGCACCTGTTGTACCATCGCTTTAGACGCACCTGGGTGGAGCGTGAGGAGAGGACGCGGTTGGATGGTTGGCAGAGTGACACATTGGCTACACTCGTACCTCACGACAAGAACAGCACCTGGGTTCGATTCCCGACTCGGGCGCCTTTCTGCGTTGAGTTTGCATGGTCTCCCGCTGTTTCCTCTGTGGCTCTCCGATCTCCTCCCATAGCTATACAAAATAGATATATATACATACACGTTGTAACTTTTATTGGCCAAAACATCGCAGTGATGAAAAATCACTTCCAAATAATCCAATTTACGCACAGCAGCAAAATCGTCCCCTACTTCGAAAACTTGGCAGGACCCTCCTGAAAAAAAAAACAGCCTTGGAACTAAGAGTTGAGGCTTTTCTGGGTAAACAAGCTAAAAAAATCAAATGGGTGTAAAGGTATGGGGCTGGTGTGAGAGAGAGATAGAGCGAGCACTGAACAGACGGCATTAGAGATTAGACATCTGTGATGAGTCATTAAGCCATGACAAGTTTGTGTAACATGTTTTTCACTCCACGATGCAGGTTTTTTTGGGTTAGATCGCGTATATATATAAATGTGTCGTTAAATCCGCCACCACCAATGTTTTTCACGTAAACAGAACATGCCAAT